ATCAAAATACAGATGCGTTGTCACCCGTGAGGACTAAGATGGAATGCCTCGCTCCCAGTAAAAAGGGTCTCTGACTCTCTACACTCACCATACGAAACACAGCAGCATTAAGGTGATACTTTACGCTGGTATTCTGTGAGAGCGTGGCCCTTCCACGGTCGAGCCGACTCATTCGTGTTACAACTATACCAGAAATATAGCTACAGCATGGCTCTACCACGTATAAAATGTTATGTTCGCGACTTCAAATTTATTTGAAATGCTTCCGAAACACATGTTTTAAAAACACCTTCTTATGTGTCCTTGGAGGGACTACGCAAAGAGAAAATAATCACTAAGATTTAGGGCTATGTTGGGTACGGGTATATGTGAAGTCGGTCCTATGCCCTATTTACATTTTATATGCGGCAACGTTGGAACACTGAGTTTTAGTCGGTGCATGAAAAGTAAAGTACTACCATATTACCGTATCCCAGCAAACCTTTCTTTACCATTTAGAGTGGGAATTAAGTTTTTCTCAATTTTCAGCAGTCACCAACTATAATTTACGCGTTTTTTTAGAAAACCAGTCCAAATAAATCTCTTCCCAATCCGAAACTGAGGTAGGGGATGAAAAAGTCGGAAATTAAGTACTATTTGCTACGAAAAATCGTTTTTACAGGAAGGGAAACTAATTAAGTCTATGACTAACCTTTAATCTATTACATTAAGGTGCAAGGTATTTTTTCACCTTCCACTAGATATAGACTTATTATCTATTAACATTGATGGCAAGTGTTCAGTATTTAAAGACAAATCAATCGACCACTGAGTTTAAGTTTTAGGAAGCTGTTTCTTCGATCTTCGAAATTATCATTATATGTATATTATTATTTTTGTATTAAATACAAATAAACGTGAAAATTATTCTATACCTCAGCAAAATCTGTAAGGGTCACATTATTTTGGTGAATAAATGTACTCCAACAAAACTAAGAACTATGTACCTATTGTCAGTCGAATAGAACCGTTTTAAAAAAAATGTGTTTCCATCGATTAAATATTATGTTACGAAATTAAATTAAATTGTAGTAAGGTATATTACAATTACATCGTTTTCAAATAGATGCATATAATACTGTTAAGTAAATTAATTGATGGGCTACAAATACTCGTATTATATACCTTGTGTTATTATACCCGCTAAAATTTCCACTTCAAACAGTGGTAGTCGTAGCTTGGGACTCCCGTGTTAAAAAGAATATTAAAAGTGTAAAAAAATAACTATGTCTACTAAGCCAGTTATTTTCTAAATTGTGAACGAAATTATAGCCAGCTATAGCCTTTCTTCTTATATAAATCGTCATCACTGAATTTCTAGAATAAAACATCATTGTTTTCGTAATATTATCGTTTAATGAACAATAAGAACAATTCTGAAAAAATACATCTTAAAAACAGTTATCGGTTACACTTCGGGTTGTAGATATTTAAAAACTTATCTGTCAGTCTTGACATGGTAATAAAAATTGACACAAAACTTCGTAGTTCAATTTCTGAAAAGGCTTTTAGGATAATAAGGAAGTATTTAAAAATAGTTTACAAATTTTATAAACAATAATATTGGTATATTACAATCCATACTCCAGATCCAGATACAGAATGGTAAACATTTCAAAATGAGAACTTTTGGCTCTCGATCCCTAAGAATAAATGTACCACAATTGAAAAAGGTTTTTGAAGTTTACTCCTTAAGAATCGATTTTCATATATAATCCCGGGGTATGAAAATTTATGGGGAGCCAAATCAAACGATACGTCATGCGTTACGTTATGTATTCATGTTTCCATGACTACGTAATATCGTGCACAACTTATTTTGCGCAGCCTCCAGCACAGAGTACTCTCGGCTGTACTACTGTTTATAAATTTTACAATTAATATAAATAAATGTATAATGCATGCTTTCATTAAAATAAAAAATGCGTTCTTTTACCCTCATTTACTACTCGATCGTTCGTAAGGAGTAAACTCCAGTCGTGCGTCGGAGCTGACACACTCTTTTTTCTACTAACTATCGAAATAGTCCGCTTTCGTCATATTTATACTTAAGTAGTCTAACTGGATTTTGTATTTACTTTTATATCCCACTAAGCTACATAACAACTGTACAACTTGGCCATAAAGCATAAGGAAGAAATTTAATAATAAAGTCTAATAATACCCGTTGTATACAAATCAATAAATAATCATATTAAATAGTTTTCTATAAAATGAACTATAAAGATTAAACATTTCATAATCCCATTTTGGGCTATACTGTAAAATATTTGTAACTAAATTATCGTACTACAGAATTATCATAATATCTTCCTTAAACAAAGCATAAAAGTAAAGAAAGTTAGTTAGAATTGGTAAACTAATATGTACAACAAAATTAAAAAGTTGCCAATAATATGTACCTAGTCATATAGACTAGTAGGTAATAATATACACTCATTTGCAAAGAAACGGGTGGTTTTGATTTTTACCTGCTTGAAAAAAAAATACGAAAAAGGTTTTAATCTTTTGGACATGTTACTGGCTGGTTATAAAAGTTCCGTAAAGTTCAAAAAAGTACGTTCTCAATTCAAATTTTTGTCTGAGGCTGGTTTTTAAAGAAAACAACTTTTTACTACATTCTGTGGCGCAAACTTCCAAAAGTTAATGTCGACTCTAAATAACTTTTAGTCTATTTTTATTGAATTATCTTATTTCCTTGACATGATCGTTTTCTGGCGAGCCAAGCGTTGATAAACGCAAATCTTGGTATATCAACCTCGAGAACAACCTCGAAGAAGTAAGTAATAAAGCCTAAAGTACTCCATGATCACCGAGTTTTCAGGCTTAGCTTTGCTCGAAGTTATGTGCCATGGACTCAAGAAGACTGGAATAGGGTATTATTCTCCGATGAAGCCATAATATCTCTGTACGTCAAAGACCGACGTCGACGAGTGGTACGAAAACAAGGAGAACGCTTTGCAGAGGCATGTTTTGAAATGATTACACCTTATGGTGGGGGTTCTGTTACGTTTTGGCAGGAATAAATTTTAACTATAAAACTATCTAATATTATCAAACAATCTAATAGTAACAATAAAATTGATTCCTTACTTGGGTACCGTTTTTTTGCAAAAGAGCTTATTACTGCAATGTTTATTTAATAGCGTACCTAGCGAACCTCTTTGGCACAAAAATATATCTTAATATATAGATGTTCGTAATCATATATATCGCAGTTTTCGTTAGTAGATCAAACTTAAAACTACGCTATACTCTTATTTAAGCACTGAAAGTTTATTATTATATACACAAAAATATTTACAAAAAACAAACCTACGGACATTACAAGTTTTCTGTATTTTGTTATAAAATGTAGTACTTTTCTGACAAAATAACTGGTAATATTACGACGATCTGAAACTTTACTCATTTCGCTAAATATAAATGGATATCAGCATTCTTAATAATGTCGACAGGAAACATTTACTAACAAACTGTTGCCGGGCAACAATACTTGGCCAGATATTTACTCGTTAAAATTTTTCTCGAATATTCCACTAGCTACCTATTTCATTCATAGCAACGTAGAACTGATATTACTTGCGTTATTGTGATACAAATTTTTTGTTATTGTAAATGAGATAAATATTTAATTATTTGATGTATAAGATTAGAAAGTAAAGAAAACTAAAACGTTTCTAATAGTATTTTTTTTCATTCATGCTTTAAAAATTTTGAATTATTGGTTTGGAATTAATTCAATTGATTTTTATAACATTAAAGTAGCAAACAGGCATGCAGTCTACCTGATAAAATACAGTTATTGTTGTCCAACTTCGGACAAAGAAGCATTAAGAAACGTAGCAGCAACAGGTGCGTTGTCATATCCGAGGACTAAGATAGAATGCCTTACAACTGGTATTTTACTGGCTCTCCATACCTTTTGAACTGGAACCCATCATTACTTGGCGGAAAAATGAGTAAGGATGAATTATTCAAACAGACTTCTTTTAGCCATAATAAAAGCCCCTAGATCGCCCAAATTAAATTTAATAAAATTATTAAGTTTACTAAAGGGATTAAATTCTTGGTAAAAAAGATTACCGTAAATCGCTTTTTATACTCGTACATCGTCGCATAATATATAAATAGCGTTAACTATCGTAACGTCTTTACAGTTCAGTACTCATTTCTGCAGTCCCTTGCTGGCCGATGTCGCCAGATCCCGGTGCTGGATCTTTCAATCCAGGTGATTCTTCAGACGTCTTTAATTGCTCTGAAGCCTGTGTTATAAATATTTGATAATATTAATTATAATTTGGATATCTAATATTTGCACGTATCCAAAATTTGAACAGCGGTAAACACAAAATTAATAAATGTTTTAATCACTGAACACACATTAAATTAAATAAACACAAAATACACAAAAATAAAATATACCTAATTTAAAAGGTTTAGGATTAACTGTTAGTCAGTATGTTAGTTTTGCATTCTAAGCTAATCCCATCCTCAACCATTCTAACCCCATCCCGCATGCACTAATAGAGACAAACAAATAATTACATAACAAAACGTGCCTCCGTGAGAAACCGAGAGGGAGACGAACAAACCAATACGTGCAGCTAACATTCCGCTACGTTGCGACATACGACACACAGGCCTTGTTAAAAATCCTCTCTCAAACTTTACGAACCGCCCTTAACGAACACTCTTTAATTTAAACTTTACCTGAAGAGCACGATCAATTACTCTCAGTCGTAAGAACAATACTTTAACAGAAAATATCTTGGTAAAAGACAATAAAACTCAACAGCGTTTTTTACCTGAAGAGCGCAATCAATTACTCTCAGCCCTGAGGACAATACTTAAATATGAAAAATCTTGATAAAAACATAGTAAAATTTAACAGTGTTTAGATTCAAAGCTGAGAGTGGCTTGTTAAGTCGGCCATAGTGATGTGTTGCTGCGAGCCTTACTTACTGCGTGCTCTCAATGAGTGGCTTAAGGATAATGTCGAGTGTGTTGTCGTGTCGCACGTGCGCGTGGTGCGCGTGGTGCGCGAGCCGCGCGTGCGTTCGCGCCACGTTCGCATTGTGATCGCGAGCCTCCCGCGACTCCCGCGACGGCCGCGCGTACCGCCGCGCCAGTGATCCGCTCTCGCCGACCAATATGTTGTTGTTGCTAGCATGTCTCTGCGTATCCCAATAATCAAATGCAATTCAAACTACCTCTATACTAACAGTGGATGAAATTGAAAAATATAAACGCAACCACCAGAAACGGGATATATAGTAAAGCGAAGTTCTGCATTTAAAACTGTATTGTAAAGAACGCTATGAAACGGACTTTATATTAGTTTTAGCACTTCACTATTCGTAATAGTAGAATTAAAGCCCCTCGAAGCATAGTTTGAAATAAGTTACAGTGAAAGTTACGTTCGCAGAACAAAGTTCTAATGATGCTGTTTCTAGTTGAAAGAAGTTCGTCAGTGAATTAGACTATCCAACAATGCCACTATATATACATAATTTATTATAGATTTATGTTGATATATAATGTAATATTCAATAATGGCAACAGTAAGGTTCTTATTTTCAGTGGGTAGCGTTCGACGGGGCGGGAAGTTTAGCGTGCATGGCAAACACACGCCGAACATCCAGCTCTGCAAATCACCCTATTTCTGTACATTTTAACGTTGTTTTTTCATGCCTTTTGTAGACATTATACTTAAAATTATGACAGTGTAAAACGAAAGAGAATATCTTATTATAGTATGAGAAAAAATTTTGTTGAAAAGTATATGAAACTGATGGAAATTATTTTTATGTATAATCTCACAATTGGCATAAATAAACTTGGAAATTTATATTAAAATGATTGATGATTCCGTAAGTCTGAACAGCAGCCTGTATTTACACTGTTAAAATTTAGCGACGCGGAAACAGGAGCTGCGTGTTATTCTGACAACCCTTGGATTTACCAACTTTACTGTAATGTTTTAATTAGAAATATTTATTGAATAAGTTTTTTGAAATATGTACATTAAATATAATTTTATTAAAATAGGAATAAAGTTTCAGCGTAGAAATGGAAATGATTATTTTTTTATTTATTAATGTTTATCTTAGACTGCAAACTACAATTAAGACAATTACAATACCTATAATTGTATTTAACTTTAAAAAAAGACAATCATTTTTGATATTATCTCTCAAAATGTTTATCTCAAGTAAGTAAAGAATTTTTTCATGGATGGAAGATTATTATTGAAAATTTGTGTTTTCCTCAGTCGTATTTTTATTATTTATCATGATATTTATATATCATTTTAATTTATCTAAACGTCATATCAAATTACTCGGCCTTTCATTTGATCAATGAAGCAATATTAATTAATATTTAAGGGCCAAACTATTTGATAACTAAAAGGGTCGTCAGATTGCGGAAGATTGTTAGAAAGCGAAGCGCCCACTCACGAAGAGAGAAAAGCCACCGTCGGCGGGATGAGGGTAGCCGCGCGGTGTGATTTCGCGGGGGCGGCGCGACGTGGCGCTGTCGCTGGCGACCGACAGCAGCGAGCGCTGTGAGCCCGACGCCGACATGCGAGTACGCGGCGCCGCGGGCGGTCGCCTAGCGAGCCCCGCGCCTGTGTACCCCGTCCCACCAACACCCATCATCCACTGCCTACTCACTGGCACTGTCGTACCGCCCGCGCCGCATTTCGCACTGTCGCTCGACCTGAATAAAATTTAAGATTTAAAGTTATAGCCTATATTTGTCCCACTGCTGGGCACAGGCCTCCTCTCATTTCTGAGAGAGTTTTAGGGAAAAGAAATGTGCTTCCCCAATGCATGTTGGTGAACTTCAAATGTCTTCGAACTATTTTTTTCTTATATCTCAGACATGCAGGTTTACTCATGATGTTTTCTTTCATCGCCGAGCACGTGGTTAATCAGCCCTAAAATCTGCAGTTAACAATTTACTCTCGCCTTGAAGACCCCCAGATTGTATTCAGACGGAAAGATAGACGCCGGCAAATTATTCCACTTTATTGCTGTACGCATTACAAAAGACGAAGCAAAACATTTGGTTCTAATGCGTGGAATATCGACAACAAAGGGGTGAAGATCCGTCGACTGCTTGGTTGTCCGATGGCGGAAAGAAGAGGAAGGAATTAAAGCGTGGAATTCCTGCGCACACTCACCGAAATATATCTTATAGAATACCGAGAGACTGGCTACTCTGCGGCTGTGATCGAGGCTGACAAAATTGATTTCATCCAAATCATGGTCACCAATGAGCCTCTTAGCACGTCTCTCCACCGAGTCCAGCGCAGCCAGTTGGCATTTTGCAGAAACAGCCCATATGTGACAGCAGTAATCCATGCATAATACTACAATTTTAATCTTATTACCAAATCACTTATACGAGTATGTATATTGCACCTGTGGCGTCGCTGTCGTCGCGCCACAAGCGAAACATATCGAAGCCTAAATCGCGCTATCAAAGTTCCGAAATTAAAGCAGCATATATAGAATAGCTCCGAACTACCAATCGGAGCGTTGGCCGCTCCCCGGGCAGAACACCTTGCCCGGCGGGAGATCTCCCCTTCAAGCTGGAATCCTCCCTAACGATATCCTAAATTTTCAAGATTTAGTGGAGAATTGGCGAAAATTAGTGGCTTAAGAAATAAATTTTGTGACTTAATATTTTCAATAATATAGCCTTTTTGGTATGTCCACGCTGGAATTCTAAATACCAGCGTTCGACAGTCCTCAGACATTGGGCATTATCATGAATTGTTTATTATAAGGGTATATTTTGATCATTATATATAATGAATACTGAACATATAAAAATTGATATTTGCCAGACCTTTTTGATGTTAATAATAAAAATAAAAATAATAAGTAATAACGAATTGTAACTGCGTGGTCATATATATCCGCCAAATCCGCATTTGCTGAAGATAACATCGTTGCTGTGAGAAAACTAATTCTCGAAGATCGTCATGTGACATATCGCGAGATATAAGCGTTATTAGGCATCTCAGGGACAACCATTCAGAAGATCTTGCATGATGCGCTTGGTGTGAGAAAGCTAATTTGCAGTTGGATCCCGCATTTACTTTCCGACGATCATAAGGCGACCCGCGACAGATGGTGGAAGAAAACTCTTCAAAGGTTCAACCGAGGGGAGTCTAATCATGTGTACGATATCATAAGTGGTGACGAATCTTGGATCTATGCCTACAATCTACAATATCTACAATCTGGGTCTTCCAAGACGAGCCCAAGCCGACTAAAGTTTTCGCTCTCGAAGCACTTCAAAGAAAATGGTGGCCACGTTCATATCGAAAACCGGCCATGTTGCGACGATTGCACTTGAAGATCGTAGAACGGTTAATGCAGAGTGGTATACCACAGTTTGTTTACCACAAGTCACCGCTGAACTTCGGAAATCTAACCCAAAGCGACGCATCATCCTACTCCATGACGACGCAAGCTCATACAGCGCTGGGCAAACGATTGAGTATTTGAAGCAAGGAAAACGTAGAAATTCTTCTTCTTTCGATTTCTTTATATTTCCTAAAATTAAGAAAAATCTTCGTGGTCAAAGGATCCAGTCCGGTGAAAAAGAAGTCGACGCTTTCAAAACAGCCATATTGAACATCCCCAATTTGGAGTGGAATAAAAGTTTTAATAACTGTTTCAAGCGAATGGAAAAGTGTACTAAACTACGTGGTTAATACTTTGTATAATTTAAAATTTAAAATTTTGTACAGCCGACTTCAATATAAGTTATTAAGAATAACTTAAATAACTCAAAAACTATTGGCCTGACCTTGATCAAATTCATATGGGACCACACGAGAAGTATCAGCTTTCATATAAAAAAGAATCATCTAAATCGGTCCACCCAGTAAAAATTTATGAGCATCTCGTATGAATAACTCCGAGGATTTTCGACGGGAGGCAGTTGGCTTGGATTTAAGCTAGAATCCTCCCAAAAAAAAGAGCTATATCTTCTAAAGTATTAAGTCACTAAATCTAATCTAAATCTTAAGTCGATAATTGTCGCCAATTCCTAACTAAGTCTTGAAATAATAAAATTTAGGATATCTTTGGGGAGGATCCCAGCTAAAAGGACGCGTACATAATTTCCATTATAAAGTCCACTGCGGAACATGGGCCTCCCCCATTGATTACCTAATATTGGATATTTGCTATAGTTGCCACATTCGGCAAGCAAGTTGCCAACCGCAGATTTTTATTAATAGTTATTAGGAGGACGCTTCTGACAAACTGACTGGGAAACATGCAGGTTTCCTCATGAAAACATCAAGAGAAACTCCATGTTTGATGAAGTCCGTCGACACGCTTTGGAGCGGCTAAAAAATTTCTATATACTCGTAGTTATATCAAAAATGAGAGGAGGCATGTATTCAGGCGTGGGACGTTAAAATTATAAGCTTATAACATTTCTTTTTTTACATAATTACTAAGTTGAATAAAATTGAATTTACTGATTTTATACCCGAGAATATTTTGTGTGATTGTGCTGCAAATCTGTACAAGGTCTACAATAGCTATATTTTAAAAGAATAATCCGGGGCGGGTCGTTCGTTACCAATAAAATTACATAGGTCGTGCTAGTTGTACAATGTTCCATGTTATTAGACGATTTTGAGTAATCTGTTTCATGTACAACAATGGTATACAATAACTATCAAGGTCGTTCCCCAGCAACGGTAGACCGCTTAATGAAGACCCTTGAATAATTCAGCTCGTGGTTTCGCATCACGGCTATTGGAAATATTATTATCTTCTATTATATATAATCGTCTTGTGATCATTGTACCTATAGGATACTTAATCCTAACCAAACATATTGATCGAATGAAAGTTCAGGTGTATATTGTAATTTTTTTTCTTTGAAACCACAATGTAAGAATAAGTTTATTTTAGCTCACAGTTAACATAAAGTTAAAGTTACAGCCTATATATGTCCCACTGCTGGGCACAGGCCTCCTCTCATTTCTGAGAGGTTTTTCGGAGCCAATTTTTGAGAGCCGTGGTAGCTCAGATTGTTAACGTTCGCTGTACAGTACGCAAGCAACCCGGGATCAATCCCGGCCGGCACGAATGAAATTGTTAATTGCAATTTTAAGTGCTGATTTACTACGTGCTCGGCGGTGAAGGAAAACATCGTAAGAAAACCTGCATGTCTAAGAAATGAAAAAAAAAATTGAAGTGAGTGAAGTTCGCAAACACGCATTGGGACAGCGCAGCGGACAGTTCCTTGCAATAAAACCCTCACAGTTAGCGTATTCTATAATAATTAACGAGTAGTTTTTAAGAACTTGTGTTTTATACGTTACGTTATAAAAATATAAAGTAACTTCTTGAAGCATTAGTAGCAAGTAAATACTAAGGTAAAAAAAACAGATATATGGCTTATCCAGAAGGATCATGAAGAAAACTCAGAGGTCATGTGTCATGGTCTACTGCTCACTGGGTAGAGTACAAATATGTTTTATCACAGGGATTTTCCTAAAAACTAAACTAAACTAATTAGGAATTTGAAATTTCCTTATATTGTAAAATAATATACTTAAATATTAATAAGTTCCACAATCATTTAACTTTCTGGCAATGTGCTTTTTATATCATTTATATTATGTATAATATGATTGCTAGTTACGATTTCATAACTTTTAGGCTTAGCAGAACATACCTGCGCGCTTCGCGCTTAAAGCATGCAATAAGAAATACTGAAAACTTCGATACATAATATGTTTGTCATCCGAAATGGTTTCAATTTAGTACTACCACAAAATAAATAATAGTTCAAGAATATAATCAAATATATAACAATAATATATCTAATATATTATAATATATAAACGAATCTGTAATCTAGTTATAAAATAGTTTCATAATAGAGCGCAGCTTGATTTTTATTAATATAACTGATAGGAATACGAGGAATGTCTTATTTCACTGAGATAAATTTATTCAATGCTTTTCTTTGAGCTCGTGATGAAACAATAAGGAAATGAAAAAAAGATTGCTCCCTTTTAAGCAAACAAGCAACTTTTGGAAAATTTTCAAAATAATAAATCAAATATTATTAAGTGATGTTCTTACTGGTCACACCTACAATGGATGAATAAAAGTATAGGAAACTAAAAACATCATTCAGTTATGTAATATGACAAAGTAAGACTAGTTTTAAATAAATTTCATAATAAAGTGAACTCGTTGTTCAAATAAGTAAATCTAAATAGAATTCGTAAAAAAATGATTCTTCTATGATCCTACTGCTTAAGCTTCAGAGGTAAGAGAAAACCCTAAAACTACCTTTCTCGAAGTTAAACAACTAAAATGATAAATCACTAAATATTTTCTAAACCAATTTCAAAAATAGAGAAGGTTCTTTAATCGACATGTATGTTTATCGAAATAAGTATATGGTGAATATTCGAAAACGGCTGAACGAAGTAAATGTTTTATTTTTATTTAATAGACTATTAATTATTAGTATTTATTAGCTTCAGGGCTAGTCTCATATATATTTGAAGAAGAAATGTAATCCTAAAGGGTGGCAAAAGACCACTTGGTCGGGGCTTTCATTTTTCGATACACTACATCTTAGCACTTATACTTTAAAGCTATTAAGTATTTTTTTATTTTGCAGTCGGTTTGTTCGTTTTATTAAAAGTTTAATTATGTTAATCAAATAGATAATTTGATTAACATAATTTCATTTTAAGGTAAATTATTTACTCTTCATTTATCAAAGAAACAAAATGGTTACAGAAATATTTATTAAAGCACATACCTACCCAAATTAAATTATAACAAAGGAAATATTACTATATCATCATAGACACAGCCACCGACATCACTATAATAGCGTAGACCTTACCTAACTATTTCATTACTTAGTTTAGAAACAATATGTAGCAACCTCTGTATTAGGTGGTAAACGAAATTAAACCTAAATTACATTGCCTGTAACTGCGACAACGCATCTGCATTTTGATTCTTACCGTTCCACAGTCAGACAAACAGGTGCTCGGCGGATCTTAGCCCCTTTCTTTTGTCGATAATCCACGCAATAGAACCAAATGGTCTGCTTCGCTTTTCGTAATGCGTACAGGAAAGAAGTAGAATAATTTTCCGGCGTCTGTCTTTCAGGCCGAATACTAGCTGGGTGTCTTCAAGGCAATAGTGAATACTTTTTTTACGCTAAGGCAGTGCGATTCACCATGTAGGGCTTCATCACCATTAATACCAGGTGGGATTGTGTTCAAGCATTGGCTTATTACGTGGTAGAGCCATACTGCAGGTATTATATTATGGTTGTAGCACGAATGGGTCGGCTCGTCCAGGGTAGGACCACGCTCTCACGCTTTGTTTCGTATGGTAAGTTTAAAGAACCAGAGATCCCTTTTATTGGAAACGGGGCATTTCATCTTAGTCTTCAGGCGTGACAACGCATCTGGTGGACTTTGAGCTCGTTTGTTACCCTTATATTTAAAAAAAAAGTTAAAAAAAATGTACACTCCTGTATTTTTAAAATTCAAACTATTTCCATCTCTAATACTTATAACGTAAAACAATATAGAAACCATAGTTTTTTGATAAACGAAGTGCATTTTAAAAAGTCTTGAGTGAAATAAGCAAACACGTTATTATACTTTCTCACCTTTCCGATGAGTACGCGTAGTCCTGATCAGCGCCGAGTCCAGAATCAGTGTGCTCGTGTGAAACTCGAGCGCTCCCAGAAATCAGTTCCCCACTCGAGCTATTACTGTTGCTGTTGGTTACAGGACTGTACGGGTTGTTGTTGTTGTTAGATACTGGTGTAGCAGGTCCCTTGTATCCGTTGTTCAAAAAGTCTTCACCAGAACGGGCTAGCTGTTCGTCGTAACCTGAGAAAGGTCGTCTGTAAAATACCATCACAATTAGGTGTCATCCTTTTCTGTAAGCACCTTTTCAGCGCGAGGGAGGTTGGTCTTAAGATGGAGCTTTAGTAGTAGTAGTATTTAGTTTTTGTTTACTAAGTAGGTACTAACTGTGCATTGCCAAGATACTAAAAAAGTTTTAGCTTAATTTAGTCAAGAAGTGAAGCTGAACGAGTTTGAGCTTCATTTTTGCCAAAGTGCTTTAGGCGAAAGTTTATCGACCAAATTGGCGATATAATAAAAAATGGGCCAAATCAAGAGTACCTTTAACCGACGAGCGTGTATGCGTAGGTATATGGATGTGGAGGAAGCGAGAGAGGTGTGTCAGGATCGTGCCAAATGGAAGTCCATAATCTCTGCCTACCCCTCTGGGTGAAAGGCGTGAGTGTTTATATTATGCTTAAGTGCGCAAGAATTTTATAGCTTGGATGGTTTCATGGTTGATAATTTCTAAACTTAGAACCAATATGTTATTATAAGTAGAGCTTTAATTTAAATCCACATAAAAAATAAACCAAATACATGCGTACTACATTATTGGCAATAATCGAAACAAACCTTCCATGTTTTTCGTTGTTTCTGTGTGTGCTCAAAGTGCTGGAAATCGACCGCAACGATCCTTGATTATGTACATCATGGCTGCTTTTTATGTGTGAGGTATTGTTTTTATCCCTTCTTGACAGTGACCCGTTCTCAGCCCTACAAAAAAACATGGGAAAATAAATCTACAATGTAAAAAGTAAAGTTACAGTCTACATACTACCACTGCTAGGCATAAGCCTGCTCTTTTTTTGTGAGATTTATGGAGCAATTAGTCGATCTGTCACTTTGGCAGACGTTACGTATAATTCTCGAAATACTTTATTCCTTTCACATGCAGTTTAAAGTCGAAATTAATAATTTTATTCGTGCCGCCGGTAAATGAACCCGAGTTGCTCGTGTACTGTGCCGTTTACAGCGATTGTTAGCCCTGACCTACCTTGAGTTATGATTAAAATGAAGAGAATAAAACTTAGTCAAAGGATTCTTAATAAAAAAGCAAAGTGAAGCTTCAGTAAAGTAGTGACTTTTATCTGTAGCTTTATATAATTGCAACGGGAATTTTTGCCCAGAACTTAAACACCAGACATAACAAAATAGTATCATTTACTATATCAATATACTTACTGCCTATGTTTAGATGAGTTTCGAAGCTTAGTCTGACGTGCGTGACTTGTTTGTACAACGGTGTAAGGAATCTCCTTTAATTGTTCTTCCGTCATTCCTGCTGTATCGACTAGAGAAAATTCGAGATGCTGCTTTAATTCGCTTGGCAGCCATTTTTTCTCGTTAGGTGACCCCGATCTTGATCTAAAAAAATGAATAGTGAAAAAAAGAAAAAATATACTTATACAATATCATTTTATTTATTTAAGTACCGGTGCTTTCTATGTCTACGTGGTCTATGAGATGAACGATGTGTTCCAATCTCGGGCTCCATTTGTGACCGACGAACACTTGCAACCTGCGATAGAAAAAAATATGGGTTAAAAATATTTTTATAAAACAAGCAAGTTTGATAGTGTATAGAACACTTACTTGAACACCACTACCAGCATTTGTTTGTCTAAGCACCTCTTTCCATTGTGATTCCGAATCGACCAACTCGTATTCTCTGTAAATAATTCGATTAGTATTAAAAACATGAGGCAAAGGTGTTAACAATAAAAAAGATAACTTTACCTTATAAAGTTATACTATATTATCTTATAATATTATCAATGAGATGTTTGTATAAAACAAAACTGTGTGTTTTAAGTATCTTTCTTTTAAAATGATATTTGTTAGGCGTACATAACTAATAATATCAATGATAAAATTTAGAGTCTAAACGTAAATCTAATAGTTCTAATATTATTACGAAACGAACAAATTGGAATTTAATCACACGCTTGAAAAAACGATTGAAAAGAATCAATTGTGGATTAATTGGCAAGACAAACTTCGTGTCAGGCTGCGAGTCGTCCTTCTCGGAGCCGGAGTCATGTTTGTGCCGCGAGCGATGTCGCCGATGACGTCGTCCGGATCGACCAGAGCCGCGCGACAATTCACTTTCTGCGTCTGACTGTTGCCGCCGAGACCGGTGACGGTGCCTGGACACATTAAGACCTTATATTAAAATGTCCCTAGTTTAATATTTAATTCAATGTTAAGTTTAAAACCTTGAAATATCCCCAATAAACAACAACAATATTATAATGAAACTAAAGCTCGACACACACGGTCAGTTAAACTGATCAGTTGATCTCATCAGTTCAACTGATCAGTTAAAACAGGTGCAAGCCAAAACGAATTCCCCACTCACTGGCTTCAAATTTCAAATTTAGATTTCACACTCACGGTCAGTTTCTGGATGTACGTCAGTTTAACTTATTAGTTTAACAAAACGTGCGCCCAGATAAATCCGTGGGGTGGCGTCAGTTAAAAATTTGAACTTAAAATTTCACACTCACGGTGAGTTTTTGAATGTACGTGAGTTCAACTGATCATTAAATAAAAATAGTTTTACGGATTTTCTCGCGTATATTAACTTATTTTATATTCCCGACGTTTCGAGTACTGCTTGGGTTGGGATTTAATTTTATTAATTATAAGATCCCAAGCATCTGATTCTTCTCCCAGCCATCTTCTCTATTGAAATTAGGATGTTTTTTTTTTTATTTCAACAGCCTTGCGAATCATCCTTGGAAAAAATCGGTGTTCTTTAGCGAAGATTTGTGGTCTATTAAATCTTCATGTAGTGACGGGGTCAGTCCTGTACGTCAGCTTCACACATCAGCTATGTGTTCTTTAATGCGAGTTTTTATTGATCTTTTAGTTTGTGCTATATAAGAGAAACCACAATTAAGGATATGACTAATGGTAAAAAATTTAACAACATCGGGAATATAAAATAAGTTAATATACGCGATAAAATCCGTAAAACTAGTTTTATTTAAATGTATAGTGTTCGCATAAATATAATAAATCATTATGCAACTAATTAGTTTAACTGACCGTGTGTGTCGGCCATAATTGGGACATAAAGTGTGGGGCGAACACAATATGGAGTGAGGATCTGGAAAGAGATATGCAGGAAGTCAATGGCTTTGTCCAGGAGTGGACTAAAGGAATGTAATGATGATGATGACATAGGAGGAACACCAGACGTCGACTAAATAAAGGACGGATTGAACAATAGCTTGTTGGATTGATAGATCAATGGACTATTGTAATACGTCCGAGACGGTTATATGTACTGTTAGTTAGTTCGTAGTATTTATTTGTAGTAAGAAAACAAAGTTTATATATTTTTTAAATCTAGTACCGCATCGTGGTGAGGGAATTTCAGGCAAATGTGTTTTTACAAGTATACTAGTGGAAATGTAATTCATTTCATTATTTCTTATTTTTTCCTGCTAGCGTTTTTTACCCACTACAATCATCTTACGAACCGCATAAATCCATCAAGCAATAACTTCCGGTGCCACCGAACGTGACCAATTTAAAAATAAATAAGTTTCATCTTATTAACTATGGAACAAACGCAACATCAAAAGTCCATATAAGGTTTCTGTAATAAATTTATAGACAAAATATGTATCGTGTTTTATTTTATTTATTTATTTAAAAGGACAACCAACAAGACGAACACTAATACATGGATATTAAGGTAACATGAATATAAAACTAAAGCTAAGCGTCATCTTAATTATAGGCCGCCACGGCATGCAAATGTGGACTATGCAAATAAAACTTAAATGTGTTTGTTATTTATTTTTAACGTCTTTGTTGTCTACTCGATTTGATGCACAGCGAAGCGAGCAATCGATTTTGTCGGCAATGATACAGTAATTAGGAACAGTAGCGTAGCATGGGAAACTGCCGTCCGTGGTCGCTAGACTCAAAACTGTCGCCTCTAAGACTCTCCCTTTTTTGAAGTACTTTAAAAAAATATAAAACCGTAAAAATCTTCTACAGCAGTGTTTATATATTATATATTATGTAAAAGAGGAACAAAATAATGTAATGCGTTTTTTATACTTATCTTAATCTTGGCAAGCGTGTGTGTGTAGTGTGTGTGTGTGTAATTCTCCAAATACAAACGTTAGAATACTGCAGTGTTCTTAATATTCGAATCAAATGTATTCAGTACCAGCTAATTCATAGTTTTTAAGAGTTTTTAATATTAGCATCATATTGCGATAACTATCAACGTTACCTTAAAACAAATTGGTTATCATGAAGTGAAATAAGTGTTTGCTACATACTTAAGTATAACAAACTATTTATTTATTTACCAGTATGAACAAATATTGACGAATCATCAATAAATAAATAAATCCTTCAAAAAGATAAGGTGGGGGAGCTAACTCATTCCTTGCTACGCCATTGACTAGGCTAAAACGTAACAGTAATTGTAAATTAAGCTTAGAATAATAACGGGAGCACTAACTTGCGATTTGATCTAGAATCATTGGAGCTCTGCGAGTCGACGGATGCAGAGCGGTGGCGCGGCGCGGGCGGCGGCCGCGTGGCGGTGGGCGAGGCGGAGTACAGGCCGCGCCGCGCGGGAGCCGAGCGCGTCGAGCGCGGGGAGCCGCCCGCCTCGCAGCCCGCCGCCTCGCCGCTTATACTGATACTATACACATTATGGGTTTTATTCGACACAGCTAGGTGATTCTATGAATCCGTCTACGAAAGTCTTGTGTGGTAGATACACAGTACTGATGTTTACCATTCATCCCCTGTTATGTTACGGTTCAAGTAATCAGAGAGAAGTTATTAATGTAGAATGTGAGCTTTTCCATCTAACTATGGCCCAGTGTTGCCAATTTATTTCAGAACAAATTTAGTATTTTCTAGCAAATAATCTATGATAATAGATCAGTATGAATGCTTTTAAATGCAAATTTAGTAGTTACAGAATACAAACGTAAAATAGCAACTTCATGCTGCTGCGTTTCGTATGGTGAGTGTAGAGAATCTGAACTATTACTAGAAACGCAGAATTCTTGAACATGATCCTTTCTGTTGCTTGGGAGGGCTTTTCATACTCGCCACGCATGGCAGGCAAAGTGAAAGAGATTTTTTTATAGGATAGGGTGACAAACGAGCACACAGTCCACCTGGTGGTAAGTGGATACTGTGGCCCATAGACATTTATCATAATGCAGATGCGTTGTCACCCCTGAGGACTAAGATAGAATGCCTCGTTTACAGTAAATAGGGTCTCCGGTTCTCTACACTCATCATACGAAACACAGCAGTGTTAAGCTGATATTTTACGCTAGTATTCTGTGAGAGAGTCCTTCCCCGGTAAAGCCGGCCCATTCGTACTGCAACTTACTATTAATATAGCTGCAGCATGGCTCTACCACGTATAATGCATTTTTTATTTGCAGAATTAGCATCAGAAGTGTGAGACAAACGTCTCACACTTCTGATGCTAATTTAGTCGCTAATTTGAATATTTAACGTTGGGCGCAGATGAAATAGTTATACCGCCATTTGTCAATAGCTATAAAAAAATTCTAGCATTAAAAGCTTAACACCGTCCATTATCTGGACATAGCAAAGCCGATCTTGCTTTTACTTAACGACGCGAAGGTGTCGTCTTCAGCGTCAGCGTCGACCCTCCCCGCGTCTATGGGTACTTTTATAGGTCTTACAGCAGTAATGCACCACAGACCGACTCATCGACAACATTCTACGGCTACAAATTCGGTGCTGCAATATATTCTATCCCCAGATTCTTGGCGATTTCAACGCCCACTACACTTAAAGGCTCGGTTCTCATTCAATCAATCATGTAGAAGATCTGTTTACGACTTTGCCTTGGTTTCAAGCCTAAACTTTTTTGATATTGGTTTATAAGTCATCATTATCTTAATTTAGTATTAAAAAAAGAGACGAATAATCATTGAAGTAAATATTTTTTTTTAATAAAAAAATAAAGATTGAAACATTAAAGCGTTACTCACGAGTTAGGCCGGTTAACTGAGGTAGGTTGTTTAACTTCAGGAGGACAGTCTTTTATTCTCAAGTCTTCTAACTTTGGCACTACACAAATAATAATATTGAACTTGTTAAAATTAATTGGTAACTTAGAGGCATAATTTTTATCACAGTTATAATAATATAATGAATTAATATTTACCATCCAGTAACGACGAATAAGACGAAGGGGGTCGCGATATACGCCTCGATGGAGTCCGTGTAAACGTGGGCGGTGGTCGGGGCCTCGCTCCTTTGCCACTGATAACCAAGGTTAAACATTATTTATTAAGACAATTTTTACGACCTAATTAATATTAGGGATTTTCATTATCCCTGTTATTTAATATTAGGAAAACTAAGTATCGTTTGTAAATGGAAAAACTTTCAACGTAGTAGAGCCATGATGTGTTATGATTGGAGCAGGAATAGGTAGATCATAAAGCACAGCGTAAAATAGTAGTTTAATGCTGCCATGTTTCGTATGATGAGTGTAGAAAACCGAAGATCCTTTTTACTGGTAACGAGTTATTCTATCAATGTAATCAAGGGTGACTACACATCTCCGTTTTGATTCTTAATCTAGGATAGATGGACTTTGTGCTCGTTTGTATCCCCTATCCTATAAAAATCTTAATTCCTACACTTTAAGATCCTTTTTACGGTAGCAATTTTTTTCAGTGTTTTATTTTCATAACAATTTTATTTAAAGGCATTTTACCTTAATGACACATTTGCTATAAAATTTTCTCAGGCGCTATTACTTTTGTAGGCGCCGATTGCTTAGTTATATCAGATTATTTAATTTTCTAATTAAACCACCATATAGAAACCAATTAATAAATTCTTACTTTGCACTTCAAACAGGTACAATGAATTGTGTTTAATAACTATCACGGGTAGCAATGCAATGATAAATCAAGATCTTTAATGAATCACATTGCTAGGGTGGGAACAACCAACGTAGCGTATTACTTTGATAATATATTGAAGGACATAAATCAGAGCTTAGTTGTGGTAAGCCAGGCGCTAGTAAGATGTAATGCTATAAGGGATCGCTGTTATACATATAAAGGGCACCATAACATGCCGCATAAAAGGAGATTACTATAAATCAAAGCTCAACAATTGCGCTCTTAATAATTAAAAATAAATATCACACATTTATACGTTTACGCAGAAAATTTGAACGTAACGTAATCAGGAAACGAAGCAAAACGTGGCTTTATCATACATATTCGCAATTTGTTTGGAATTTGGGAAGTTACATCACGCGGATATTTAAGGGTAAGGATTCTTTGTTTGCGTTGTCATGTGACAAACAACAAAATTTCATTAATTAATACCTTGAATAGAACAAATTACTGGTATATTTCTGTTAGTTTAGAGTGCAAACTCTATATTTGAGACAATCGTTCGAATAAAATGGCGACAAAAACGAGTAACTCCATTCGCATACAAAAGTTTTAAAAAGGGAATGCAAGATTGTTACACCTTATACATTAAATATACCTCGCTCCGTCTATTATTTACGTCTGAGATGAGATCCGTGTCTCCACTTGAAATTTACATTACATAGGGTTCTAAAACAGACCCTCATAATATTTTGAACACAAGTGCTCTTACCTGCGTCCCTTAAGAGCTATAAAGTGCTAAAGCAATACATTCTAATGTTTCAATAGAAAATGTTAAATAATAAAATAAGACTCAAATTCATTTTAAAGATATTTTTGATCAAACGTGGTTGAGCCATGCTGCAGCTATATTAATTGTATAGTTGTAGCACGAATGGGTCGACTCGACCGGGGAAGGACCACGCTCTCGAGGAATACCAGCGTAAAATATCAGCTTAATGCTGCTGTGTTTCGTATAGTGAGTGTATAGAACCGGATACCCTTTTTACTGGAAACGAGGCATTCCATCTTAGTGCTCACGGGTGACAACACATCTGCATTTTGATTCGTAATCGAAGTAAGTAGATGTAGATGTCACATTAACCACTTACCATCAGGTGGATTTTGTGCTCGTTTGTCACCCTTATCCTATAAAAAAAAGATCACTATGTTTAGAATGTTTACTAAAATTCTTTACAATAACTAATAGTCAAATTACGTTAAAGAAAACACCAAAATATTTATAGCATATTAAATTGTACACCGAAATTTTAAAAATACTTTACGACATTTTTATATAAAAATTAGTTTTTTTTTTATATCAAATATTCTTTAGGTACGGTAAATGTCGAGTACGGAAACACCATTCCAATTTACAAGACCCAGCACACCAGATTTGTGAAGGGGAGTGGCCTTAGTCTGCCGTTGAGATTAACAGGATTCTATGGATTAGTCGCGCTGCAACCGTATTATGACTGCAGCTCGAATAATTCTGCTAGACCAGATAATGTCCACGCTCGCGTCAAACGTCAACGTAAAAATCAGCATTATGTTGTTCTTTATCGTACGAGGAATTAATGGTAACATTTTGATTCTTACTCGAGGCGACAACTGTCTATGAGTCACAGTATCCACTTACCAAATGAACAATGTCCTTTGGCATTCTTAATTATATTCAAAAAATGATAAATGTGATGATAACAAAATTGATTGAATATTTACCTATTGCGTAATCTGGACCCTAACACAAACATGTCTGCTGAGGCCGGTGAGGTTTGTTGCAGTCGAAAGAAAGTGTGGTGGTCGGAGCAGCAGCGCCAAAGGTGACGACATGCGGCTCGCGTTGGTGACTCGAAGCCGTAAGTCAAAGTCTCATTCTGAACGTTAACATTCGATAGGAAAGTAAATTAACAAATGTGTACAATAAATAAATCCAAAATTATATAAATATTTAAAAATTCCTAAAAGATATCTCTATATCTACACCTCCCAATCCAACAATTTACTTAGCATGTACTTAATACGGTAGTGATTACAGCTGAGGTCAAAACAGCCTGAATCGTGGTAGCTCAACGATAAGCGTTCACTAATACGCGATCAACCCAAGATGGATCACCAATGAAACCGTTATTGCAACTTTATGTGTTCAATTACCACCTTCACAACGGCGAAGGAAACTTAGAAAGGAAAACCTGCATGGCTAAGAAATAAAAAAATAAATATTTAAAAAAACATGTGAAAAAAACAGTGCAAATTCTTCCATGCGCAAAAATCTTCCGAAGTTTATTTTACTTTTGCGAACATACTTAACAAATTTCGCTGTTGCAGTGATAATCAACAAACATAAAACATGTCAAAAATGTTATATATATAGACGAAAAATTCTTTAAAATATTACTATTATTGAAAATTTATATGTGAAGCAGTTTAATATGAATAAATGCAGTCGAAATACGCAGATAAAGTCGTGAAGCGGCATCGGCAGCCGGCGCGGCGCTGCGAGGCGTCTTATCAGAGCACACCCACCGCACAGTAAATACTCCGCTCAGTTCTACGGGACTTATCTGTAATTGCCTGCTTGCGAATGTCTTTCAAGGAAACGGCATAAGGTGGACTCTATCTTGCAGCACTATACAAAACTCCGACAATCGCTCCCTGCCATCTGGACATAAAACCGGGTCAAGTCTTTCGTCTTATTGTGTTTATGTTTTGCGATTAAAGCTCAAAAGAAGTGGTAGATTTAGGACGATGTTCCTCATTTATTAAGCACTGTATGCGTACAAATATAATTTATATTTTAAGAAGAATAGTCGCAAATTTTTAACTATATATAATATATTTCCTGCTGTATATTTATTTTTAGATATCGAAGGATTGTATTTAATACATTGTATATTTTTTTTCATACCTCATAAAGTATATAAAATACAAAATCGTTAGTGATGCAACGAATACTACTTTTAAGAATACGAATACGAATACGAATATCAAACCTACTATTCGGCGAATACGAATACGAATATCTCGCCATGGTAATAAAAAACTAATTTATTTGATGATTTTCTATTGTTCTAACCATTAAAATTTACAATAAAAAATTTTATAATTAAAAAACATAAAATTGGTAGATTTTCTGGTTTTTGGCTATTTCTTTTTCAGTTTGGATGTTCCCAGCCGTTGAAAAAAGTCTTTCCGAGGCGACTGTACATAGTTTCAGTGAAAAATATTTTTGGGAGTCCCCCGTCGTTGAGGCTAAGGGCCAAAACACACGTATTTTTTACGCGCCGACGACGCGCGTTATCCAAGTCCGCCAGTAATTAGAGTTGCGTACAAAAATATTAGTTTTTAAATATTCGTGATCAGTATTCGCCGAATACGAATATTCGGTAAATGTCTACTATTCGGCGAATACGAATATTCGTATTTATTACGGATCGCCGTAATGCCGTGCGAAAAATGGAATAAAACGCGCTGGTCTTGCTTTTAACTGGAGGCAAGCGGCGGTGAGGAGGAACTTGTATTTTTTCTTTTCTTGCTGGTGCCTTTTCGGTGGCTGGAGAGCGACTGCTGACCCTAGCGGCCGGCCCGTCTTTTATATGATTTGGCCGCTGCTGGCCAGCGGACCCTTGCCTCACCCCCGCGCCTATCTTTATTTATTTAATAACCTTACAAACTAATAAACATAATTCACTATATAATATTCTTATAACTACTTGTTAGACTAGGGTGTACATATCAATATTTTTACTTATTTACAGGTTTACGTTATAATTTTCAGCTGCTTTAGGCGGAGAATCCTTCCCCCCGCCTCAGCACTATAAATATAAAACGTCGTGGCGCGGTGCGCGTGGCTTCATTTGCTCCGCGGCCGCGTCACGATAACATGCTCTTTGGTTACACTACTACTATTATTTTATGTGCCTAACGGCCTAATATATTTATTATATAATAAAGTAAACATTTATTATATTTAACAATTACAGTTTTCATTAGAAGACTATGCTAACTCTCCCTGTTCATACGGTGCCTTTATTTGGGAGAGTTATTGCACAGTTACAACTCAACCTTAAACTTAGTTATAATACAATCATTATTTTTTATCGTTCGATACAAGTAATACAATTATTTACACAAATTATAATTTAAATTCAACATAAGGTTGCGCTAGTCCCGCCGTATAACCCTTGCTAGTTGTCGAACCAGAGGCGTGGCCTGATAATTACACCGTCGTCATGGCTCCGCCCACCGCTCCTAGGTTGTTCAACTAGCGCCGGTTACAATAAGCATTTTCTTTCGTTTGTTTAATATTGTTGCGTCGTGCACATTCTCCCGCCGTCGCCACGCTGCGATCCCTCTGGTAGCACGACGATCTTCTTCGTTGGTCTTCTTAGTATGTGCCCACTGCCGGTGGTTACGTCCACTACTCGTACCTCTCCGTCGACGCCAGGATATACCTTACTTATTTTCCCTCTGGGCCAGGTGTTGCGTGGTAGATTGGAGTCACAAATGATGACTAGGTCTCCAATCTTCGGCGATACTCCTATGCTGCTGGGCTCCCGCCGGTGTTGGAGTAGGGGCAGGTATTCTTTAACCCATCTTCTCCAAAACACGTCGGCTAGGGCTTGAGCTCGTTTCCATTGCTGGCGGGCCGTCACGTCATTCTTGCTGAAGTGTCCCGGCGCAGGTACGTGCGAGTTGGGACCGATGAGGATGTGATTCGGCGTGATGGCTTCAGGGTCTCCTGGGTCGACTGAGACGTGTGTGAGAGGTCTGGAGTTTACAGTATTTTCGACCTCGGCGAGCAGGGTCCCCAATGTTTCGTCGCTGGGATAGCGCTCGTTGAGGGTGACGCGTAGGGCTTCTTTTACGGAGCGAACCATTCGCTCCCATACGCCGCCCATGAACGGTGCTGATGGCGGTATGTACTTCCACACAATCTGTTGACACGTGGTTTCGTGCTCGAGGGCTGCAAGTGCTGCTTCGGCCATCTCCTTGTCTGCTGCCTTGAAGCACGTAGCGTTGTCACTCCATATTTCTTTTGGGCATCCTCTTCTGCTCATAAAACGCCTAAGTGCCGACACGGCTGAGTCTGCGCTCAACGAGTGGGCTACTTCTATGTGTATTGCTCGCGACGTCATGCAGGTAAATAACGCGCCATAGCGCTTTTCGCGATGTCGTCCCACTGTGACTTCTATTGGCCCGAAGTAGTCTAGTCCGGTGTATGTGAACGGACGTGCGTGATGAGCGAGGCGTGCGGACGGCAGGTTTCCTGTAGACGGTGATGCAGGCTTGGCTTTTCTTAGACGGCACGGCAGGCATCCTTTGACGACAGTTTTCACTACTGGACGTATTTTTCTTACGTACAATCTCTGTCTTAATTCATTCACAACTGTTTCTACGCCTCCGTGATGCAGCCTCTCGTGTACGTGTGCTATGTACAGGCGAGTGTATGCGTGCTTCCCGTCTAATATGGGAGGGTCGTACATGTCGTCCTCCACTTCTGATGCCGCTTTTATTCGACCTCTGAGGCGTAGGGTCCCCTCTTCATCAATGTATGTGCTCAGGTGGCCTAGTTTGTCGTCGCCTCCCGGAACACTTCCGCTGGTGATTCTCTTGAGCTCCTTCGTGAAGCTTTCCCGCTGACTGGCTTGCACCCACAGTTGTTCGGCTCTCATATGATAAGCGGCCGGTATTCCTACAAGCGATGAGGCAGTAGGAGTCGCCTTTTTCTCCTTGGCGGGGGTGTTGCGTTTGTTTGTTCTCTGCCAGCCAGGGTCGCTACCTTGTCTTGCTTTGTTGCGTTTACGCCCAGCCTTCACTACGTGCTTGTTTGGTCTGCACATGTCGATGAATAGGAGGACTCTCGCTGTCGCCCTTATGAGGCGAATCCATTTAGAAAATCTTCCTATCTGTGGAAGATGTGTTGTTGTCGAGTCTTCACTTTTAACAGCGATGTTACATATTTCTCGCTCTTCCCCGGTGTCATATTGTGTCGTTTTCTCTTCCTGCGGCCATTCTGCCGGTGGACGCTGCAGAAACGGGGGCCCTCGGAACCATCGGTGCGACTCGTCGAACCCTTCTGGTGTGGCTCGGGTTGCGTCGTCTGCCACGTTTTCTTTAGACGGTAGCCAACGCCATTCGTTCTTTTTGGTCGTATCTTCTATCTCCGCCAGGCGATGAGCGACGAAAGCTTTGTACGCGCGAGGCTCCGATCTTATCCACACCAGTGCAGTACGGGAGTCGCACCAGTATGTCTTGCCTGCTATGTCGCCATCGTGTTCATCGATCACAGTCTGCGCAAGACGAGCTCCCAGCAGTGCCGCTTGTAACTCGAGCCGTGGTATGGAAACTGGTTTCAGTGGTGTTACGCGGCTCTTGGCGGCGGCCAATGATATGTTAACGCTGCCGTCTGCTCGCTCCGTTCTCCAATACACTGCTGCTGCGTAGGCCTCCTCGCTTGCGTCGACGAATGTGTGTAGTTGGCGCGTCGACACCGGGTTGTAATCGTAGCATCGCGGTATTCTTAGTTGTTCTATGGCGTTAAGTGAAGTAATCCAGCCTTCCCATTTTTCTTTTAATTCTGTTGGCAGAGGGTCGTCCCAGTCCGCCTTGTAACGCCATGTGTCTTGAAATATTCTCTTCGCTGGGGTGGTCACCGGTGATATTAACCCCAGCGGATCAAATAATGCCATTATGACGCTCAACGCTTCTCGTTTAGTTGGCAAGCGTTGTTTTTCTTTTACGTCGGCAGGCATCTTCATATTGTTAGTATTGAATCCAATACGATCGCTTTGTACATGCCAGAGCAGCCCTAGCGTCTTCTCAGTTTCTTTTCCGCCCAGGCACACGGTCGCGTCGTGTTGTCTATGCTCTGTCG